ACATATAATTAGTTGACATTGTTTTTTTAATAACTTTTTAATAAACAACGAGCGCCGGCTAAATCCTTCTGAGGGTTACTCAGGAGGGTGACCTCTATAATATATGTCAAGCCCAAGGTTATTGGAGGTGGGTGTCCTAATCTAAATAATTACCCGTCATTGGTATCAAATTAAAGAAAAACCAGCTTTACTTCCATCTCTGGGCATCACATGGAGAACTATAATAGACGGCACGTCCATCCGATGTAACATCCAAATTAGGACTGAAGTCTGACAATGGTGTGAAGGAGATACGGAGAACATGGCAATAAATAAATAAATAACTACTAAAGATATATTTTACTAATGAATATACAGGGTGTCTGATGCAAAAGTAGCCAACTTGAAAATAGTGGTAGATTGGGTTAAACTAAAGAGAAATATCATGTGCCGCTGTACAAAAGTAACAATAGTTATCGAGTAATTAATTTACACGGCTGAGCGAATGAGGATGCAGAATATGGAAGGCCGGACTCGGAAGGCATTTAAGAAAATCGATCGATGAGCGGGAGGTGGAGCGACGCGCGAGATACTATGTTTATGTTTCGGGTCGCCCGTCGCTCGCGTTCGCTGCCGCGCTCGCCGCCCGCGCCGCGCCTAGGTTTTTTTCCACCACGGTGCACGGTGTATCTCGCGCGTCGTTCCAACTTCCGCTCATCGATCGATTTTCTTAAATGCTTTCCGAGTCCGGCCTACCGTATTCTGCATCCTCATTTGCTCAGACGTGTAAATTAATTACTCGATAACTATTGTTACTTTTGTACCGCGGCACATGATATTTCTCCTTAGTTTAACCCAATCTACCACTATTTACAAGTTGGCTACTTTTGCATCAGACACCCTGTATAATTACATTTAACAATATAGGATTGAGAACGCGTTTCGGCACACGATGCTTGCATCAGAGCATATAGATTTAAAATTCAATTAAATAAATACTTAAAATACACTACTAAAAAAATAGGGAGCAGTTTAATACCCTAAAAATTGGGCTATTTTCAAATCACTGAAACTCGGCGAAAAATTATCATAAATTCAAAATTAATAAAGCATTTTAAAGCTTGAAGTTTCAACTTTAAAACCCTGTCAACGATTTATTTAAATATGTTCATCTTCCTCGTTCTGTGCTTTAAAAACGAATACATTGTTTTGTTCCTTAAAATTACGTACATTTGACACACTGCAGCTCGATAAAAAAATTTCTCTCGACAAATTCGATAAAAGTTCCACGATCTACAAAATGCTTTTTAAAAATTTTCTTACGATTTTTTTTTGACAGAGTTACATGACTTTGAAGCGAACAATGTATTTTCTTGAAAAATTATGTTTACCGCCGGTATTAGCGTTACCCAATGTGCACTACGTGGAGGTTGCCGGTCGGATTTTGCACATCGTGTGTGTGTGTGTGTGTGTGTGTGTGTGTGTGTGTTTGTGTGTGTGTACGTGCGAGCGTTTAGTATTGTGTATTACCTCCTTTCTAATGAATTACCGCTTGTAAACGCTCTCGCATGTTGGTGCATCGATCTCGATCAAGTTTTGCGGACTTTCTTTATACCAAGTATAAATTTCCGCAAAACTTGATTGAGAGATGCATCAACATGCGAGAGCGTTTATAAGCGGTAATTCATCAGAGAGGAGGTAATACTCAATACTAAACGCTTGTACGCACGCAGACGCGCACACGCAATGGCACACGCGCACGCATACTCACGCGATGTGCAAAATCCGACCGGCAACCTCCACGTAGTGCACATTGGGTAACGCTAATGCCGACGGAAAACATCATTTTTCAAGAAAATACATAGTTTGCTTCAAAGTCATGTGACTCTGTAAAAAAACATCGTAAAAAAATATTTAAAAGCATTTTGTAGGTAAAATGTTGTAGATTGTGGAACTTGTATCGAATTTTCCAAAATGTTGTGAAGGCTCCCAAAAAGAAAATATTGTAGAAAGGGCAGAGTGCCAATGTGAGCCACAAATGAACAGAAAACGGTTCTCACAAATTAGAAACAAAATTTCTCTTTAATAAACGTTTCGACCCTCCTTCGGGTCTTTCTCAGTAAAACTACAATAAAACAATCGAAAATACAGGATGTGAACGCAATACTTTTGATACAGATTGGTAGAATAATAATAATCATCAGTTACCTCGTTTAAATCGACTAAAGCGTATCTTAAGGGATCAGAGTAGTACGTGACTTGAGAATCATTCCTCTGTCAGCGTTAATCCCAGTGTATCTCTAAATGGTCCCAGACATAAAGAGGACTGAAAGACTCAGGTCGACAGAGGGATGAATCCGTTACAATGGTGTTAACACGACTGTGTCGTGACTTGTATCGAATTTATCGAGAGAAATTTTTTTATCGAGCTGCAGTGTGTCAAATATACGTACTTTTAAGGAATAATACAACGTATTCTTTTTTAAAGCACAGAACGAGTAAGAACACATATTTAAATAAATCGTTGACAGGGTTTCAAAGTTGAAACTTCAAGCTTTAAAATGCTTTTTTTATTTTGAGTCTACGATGATTTTTCGCCGAGTTTCAGTGGTTTGAAAATAACCCATTTTTTAGGGTATGAAAAGTGATCCCTATTTTTTTTTAGTAGTGTAGATACATTGTAGTCTTAATTAATAAAATATAACATTGTATAAAATAAAGATAGTTGGAATTTTAAAATGCAAAAATCAATGATTGAATCAAATTTGGTCAGAGTAGAATTTGGATTGAACGTTGTTACCGTGTGCAATGGTGCCATAACTGTTCGTTTGTTGTATTGATTATATAGATAAATTGGATAATTTTCTGAAACAACCTAACACAACTCTATATAGGCTCACTAACCTGATATGGGATCAACCAATGTCATCATAGTTGCACATGATAACAACGTTCAACTGAAATTCTACACTGAACAAATTTTCTTTAGTCCTTGACTTTTGCGTTTTTTAATTTCGACTAATCTTTAACATACATATATAATGTTATATTTTATTACTTAAGACTACAATGTACCTATTTTAAGTATTTATTTAATTATATTTTAAACCTGTATGCGCTGATGATAGCACTGTGTGCCAAAACACGTTTGCAATCCTATATCGTTAAATGCAATTATATCTATATTTGTTGAAAGATATATATATATATATATATTAAAGTTTTTAAAACTCGCGCGCAATTTCAAAGCAATTTATTTTTGAGGAAGAACGAGTGAGGCGCTGGCTATTTCTTTTTGATTTTCAATTATATGTTTTGTTTATCTTAGTAACGGTTCACTAGTTAAAAAGAAATCGAACTGGTACTAATAGTGTTCTCAAGTCAAAGTAAAAAAGGGAGAAATCAATTCTCTGAGGCGGTTCTGTACCGTAATTTCAGGCGGTCAAGCACCGTTCTCTCAGGCGGTCTCGC